ATCATCGTCAAATTACTGCGAGTGAGAGAAAGGGAAGAAAAGCAGAAAGGCACGTATAGTTATCCTCTTCAGTAGTAGCTTGAACGACCATTTATATGATATGAAGCTATAAGCTATTTATGGCCTCTCCGAAAAGGTCTTTTCTCCATTCAAAAAATTGTTTCTGCTTCTTTGTAAAGAAAAATGGCATTAATAAACTTATTTAGTATTTGATTTTTGATGGGATTTGTCATGGAGAGCCAAACTAGCGATTACATCATAAAATACTCGCGTATGTTTCTAAGCGTACTTCTTTCTCCTGGCAGCCTATCAAGATTTTGTGTTTGATCTGGGAGAATTCTATCATACAACACACTTCGAAAATTTCAGCTTTTGTTTGTTTGAGGATCGATAACAAACTCTATATTCAGCTTCTGCGCAGCAAATTTGCTGTATTTAACCAGTTGCTGAAAGATGAGCACATTCATGCACAGCTTCAGAAGGACATCCGACATTTTCACGAGAATTTGGAGACACTCAAGAAACTGGTTCGTCTTTCAAGTAGCTTGTAAGAGGGTGAATGTAGTAAATGTTTGCAGTATCCTCCGAAACGAGCTGAACAGTTCAACAGAGCTTTTTCGCAGTTGAATGCGCAAGAAGGAGAACCTACTTACATGGATCGTTTCAGAATGCTCGTAACGCAGGTGGGAAAACTAGCGCTCATACTTGAAGTCAAGTGCACGTTGCTATAACGAGTCCTATGGCCATATTTATTTTTTTACTTTCAACGAACCAAACCTTACTCCAAAGGGTAAGGTTACCCTCAAAGTTCGTTGATGAATACGGGTTAATCGCTTTCTGGGGTAAGGCTACCATGAAGGGTAGATTTAACCCTTGAAAAGGCGAACCCTGTGCTTCATGAGTACGGATTTCATGCTTCCTAGGGTAGAACTTACCCTCAGGGGTAAGGTTTACCTTTGAGGGTAAGTTTTCCTAGGGTTGCTTCCTAGGGTAAAACTTACCCTCAAGGGTAAGGTTTA